GGTACACTTGGTGATGTAACTGTACACATGGAATAAAAAGAACTTTGCTTGGAGAACCTTTGGAGTGCTGGTGACTGTTTTGTATAACTGATCCAGCGGCGCCATCCGCTGTAATTTTTGAGGCCACTATATGATCAAATTGTATTTAAGTGGACTATATATCCATATTTATATATGTATTTTGTTTTATATTGAGTGAGATGGGAGCACTTATTAACTGGTATTCACTTAAAGGGTTTTTTTTTAAGGAGGGTCGGAGATAGCGCAGTGTGTTTGGATCTTAAGAGTAATTTTTTTGCCTGCCCAGAGTTTGGCTTTAAATCATGCACCAGTAGGTCCATTTACAAGACCAGACTGCTTGGCTGGCAGGATCTCAATCACTGTTGGTCATTACAGTGTACAGCTAAATAAGAAAAAGCCATCTTACCATTCAGATAACAAACACAAGAAATAGACAATGCACACAAAGATTCAGTCAGCATACAAAATGCATCAGTCATCTGTGTTAAAGGAGAACTATGGGGTTAAGGCTTTTCCCCATAGTTCTCCTTAGGGTAACAGGAGGACACAAACTAGCGTCCTCCCGTCACCCTAGGCTCAGTATACCGCGAGCTGTAGCTCGCGGGATATACCGAGATGCCGCAGCTGAAGCGGATCCTGACAATTGTGCCGGGATCCGCCCAGCTGCGTGACTGACAGCTGGCTCTGCCTCTAGATAGGAAGAGCCAGCTGTACCCGCCCCCTCCGTTCCACCAGTCAGCGCTGGCGGATCGGAGTGGGGAATCCAGCCCCTTCCCTGTCACGGCAGAGAGCCGTGACAGGATCGAGAGGTGAGCGAAAGCCGGTATGTGTTCGCTCACCTCCCGATTTACTGAGCCGACCTGTGACAGTCTCATTGTCACAGGTCGGCTAGAACTATGAGGTGAGTGAAAAGCACTCACCTCATAGTTCTCCTTTAATAACCAGCTGTTTAGCATTGTATTCAGGTTATAATCTTATGTCCAAGGTCTAAATAGGTTGTAAAATGTGCCTGCATCTTAAGCGTGGAGAAAGATCATTTTATATAAGCATTGTAGGAGATTGCTTACTGTTGGACCAAGGAACGAGAAAGCAATTCTAACTGCAACATATTTCCTCAGGGCTCTCTCATTCTGAATGTGAGGTCCCTTTCGCATTTTAAAGTGCTTCCAATTCCAATGCAAATGAACATTTTTACTGGGTAACTTTTGCTTGGAAACGAAGGTCTTCAGCGCCATGAACGATACTGCACATGGTATAAGAATGTTGTAAAGTTCATCTATTGTCAGGAGACATTTCAGTCAGGGAATGGAGGTGAAATGACTGTGTTAATTGGTAGATCGAGGCAAATTAGATAGTCAGGCACATTGTGATTTGTTAAAATTGATGTTATGGCAAAAAAAAAAAGTTAGCACATCTCTGCAACACATGTACATTTCACCATGTTTTTTTTCTTATACAATCACAGAAAAATACATGTTGACCTGCCAGAAATCCTTGAGCGGAGAACCCCTGAGCTGACAACGCTGCCTCTGCTGCACTGAAATTCTAAGCAGTATTTCAGCACAGAAAATCTGCAGATAATTGTAAGGTGTATGGCCAACTTTAAGGTGCCCATACACCTTACAATTTATAAGCAGACCACAGAAGGTCTGCAGATAAATTGTAGGGTGTATGGGCACCTTTAGACAGGGCTGATAACACTGCCTAGAGTTTCTGTGCAGAAGAGGCAGCAATGTCAGCTTTCTGTAGGAAGTTAGGCATTCACTAGACATGTGCGATTCGTTTAGCTTCGAATTAAAATTCGTACGAATTTTCCACATGAAAAAAAATAAAGATTTCCAACTTATCTGAATGTTCCCATAACGAACATTTCAGATGCATCCAAATTTTTTTCCGAATGTCATTTTGAATATATTCATGTTGTTAAACGTTAACATAAAAAAGAGTGAAATCCCCTCCCCAATTAATACAAGAGCCTTTGGGTCTGGTAGGAATTTTAAGGGGACCTCCAACACCATAAAAAAACCCTTTGTTGACATTCGGGTCAGCTCTGTCATTTTGCGGCGAGTGTTCATCGGGATCGGTTGTGTTGGCGAGCGTCGGGTATTTTTTCTTTCAGCAAGTCGGTGACCGTCGTCAATTGCGATTGCCATAATGGACGTTTGGATTACATCGAAATTTTATGAAAGGGGGCACCCAGATTCCTATAATCCCCCCTGGCTGCAGACCCCTACAAAAACTGGTCCAGTGTTGTGGGCCCTTGTCCTCATCGACATTGGGGCCCCCAGGCAAAACACTCTCCCTATGTTCAAGGCATGTAGCTTGGTATGGTGCAGGTGGGCCCCACCTTTCCTGCTCTCCCAAGCTGCTGCTCAGAACACGGGTCTGGTAAGGCATTTTAGGGCGAACCCCACATATTTCTTGTTTATTTAGCGTTGGAGGACCCCACTCAAACTCCTACCAGACCTGAAGGGTCTGGTAGGAATTTGTGGCGGTGGCGAGCAGCACTTTTTTTTTAAAATTATGGTTTCTCTGCACTGACAAACACTTTATTTCTCATGGTATGCCAAATTGCCTGATCTGTGGAGAGTTAAGGGTTGATCTGTTTCTCCCTTAGCACCCATTACAGGCAAAAGGTGAGATTCTCTGCAAATCTGGTGATTTGGGATTCATCAGAACATATCTGATTTGCCTGATCCATCAATCAATTCGCTCATCTCTGCTATTGACAGACCATAATACAGGCTGGAACTGTAGCAAGATAACACAGACCTCAAGTTGGATCTCATCTGTAACCCCCTTAACAAGGAAACAACCTGCAAGCTATGGATATAACTACAACCATCTAATACTTGATGATGAATTTCCTTCTGCTCTGAGTATATTCATATATAAATTATACAAATACATCATACTAACATGAGATTAAAATGTATGATAAAATATGTCCACTGTGATTTCTCTTATACCAGAAGTAGCTAGCTAGAAGACGTTACTAAACATGTTTCTGTTGGACAGCAGAATCCAATTCCTTGGTGACTGGGGAGGGGGGGCAGGTAATAAATACAGATTACCCTAGTAATCTTTCTCAACTGGGTCCACAGAGGTTCATGCATAATGTATAAGGGTCCTGCACAGACAGAGACAATTGTTCGAAAATGAATCATGCCTGCTTTGGGTTGTATATGAAGGTGTGTTATCTTATAAGCAACTGTGAAACTGCTTATATATCTTCAGCACAACAAAAAGGTATATTATCTAGCTTAATAGATATCGACATAGCTAAGAGATCATTTACCTGTAGATAAAGACTTTGTTTGCAGCTTGAGTTACCAATGTTAATGTCTAATAAAGAATAGTCTGCACAGCATATAATCACTAGTGCAGCTAGGAATATATTAGTGCGTGTAGCTCTGCTAGTACATGCATTGCAAGGTAGAGAACATTTGGATAAATGGAACATGTATATAACAAATACATTGAAAAAAGGTACCTGGAAAATTAGGGGACATAGGCACGACAGTATGAGAGGGAGAGCGAGAGAAGGAGAGAGAGAGAGAGAGAGAGCGAGAGAAGGAGAGAGAGAGCGAGAGAAGGAGAGAGAGAGAGAGAGCGAGAGAAGGAGAGAGAGAGAGAGAGAGAGAGAGAGGGAGAGAGAGAGAGAGAGAGAGAGAGAGAGAGAGAGAGAGAGAGAGAGCGAGAGAAGGAGAGAGAGAGAGAGAGCGAGAGAAGGAGAGAGGAGAGAGAGAGAGAGCGAGAGGAGAGAGAGAGAGGAGAGAGAGAGAAGGAGAGAGAGAGAAGGAGAGAGAGAGAGAGAAGGAGAGAGAGAGCGAGAGAAGGAGAGAGAGCGAGAGGAGAGAGAGCGAGAGAAGGAGAGAGAGCGAGAGAAGGAGAGAGAGCGTATCAGCAAAAATAGGTGAAGCCTGCCATGGCAATGCAGCTTTTCTAGTGAAAGCCCATGATTATGGCTGGTCATGGCAGGATATGCTTGGCACTCATAGGAGCCAGCTCTCTTCCCACACAACCTTTGTTAATTAACAAAGTGATTAAATGCTTAGTAATTAATTGCCGGGAGTGACACTGGCTCCTGTGTCTCTTTAAGATGCCTTCAAATGAGTTTATTATATGGTGGGTCTAACCTTGTTAGGGAGGGATGAAGAGTGCTATTGATCTGGCACTGATTGGTTTAACTAACTCTCAGACCTGTAATTAAGGAAAGAATTGCAGTCCAGAATCCCTGAAAAGGGTGAGATGTTTTTTTTCCCTTTCAAACAGACAATATTCTGCAAGAAAGAGTTCCTTGGAAATGACTTACCTATTACGGTGGATACAAATACTCACTAGGCTACTAATTGTGATAGACCATTACAGAGCTCTATTAAGATGTTAGATACACTGTTCGGTGAAGGGTAACTACCAGCTCCAGGATAAGCAGATACTGAAAAGCTTCTTCCGTTCAAGGACAGGACTTGTATATGTACTGGCACAACAGCAAACCAAAAAGTACACACTGGGGTCATGTGAAGAGTTTACAGCCAAATACTTTCTTTTTTAACAATAAAATTACAGTTGCACACATGCATGTATCACAAAATATGCAAGAATCAATGGAATGTTCTACAATAAAAAAAGAAAAAGCATGTTCTTATTCAGTTTTTGACTTACAATACACAAGTGAACACAAAACTGATGATCAAAACAGAAAAAGTGTCTAATATGAAGACAAGAAAGCATGTTCTTACTCAGTTTTCACTTACAATAAATGTGAACACAAAATTGATAATCAAATTAAAAAAAAAGGGTTTTTACCATGAAAGACAGTTCCAAAATAAGATGACCACCTTTTATATATTACATAACACATCAGGCTAAAGCATAAACAAAATTGCCCTGTTAACCAGACAGGCCAGATCCTAAAAGCCAGGCAGCCAATGTATCTAGAACATTACAGCAGGATCAAATTCGTTTTTCTTTATTATTGATGCCATTAAAAGAACATTTTCCCTAGATTCTAGGCTGACCTGACTGGTTTATAAACCGGAGAGAAATTTTTCCACCTTGTTGAACAAATGGCACAAAACAGCAATGTTTACATAGCAATAATCAATAAGAGGGAGTTATCAATAATATCAAATCAACATAAAACATGATCACTTTATTGACAAACTGTATATGCAGCTCTGCTATTCATGTGCTGTGTGAGATAGAGAAAGTAGTATTTGCTTTAGTTCAGAGCGTTCTTTTAATCCTCTTTATGTCTTTATTCTGCTAGTTGCTGCAAGCCCCTCCATCAGCAAAAAGGTCAAACATGAAGGTCCTTTTGGTTGCAAGGAGCGTGAGATTTATCCTCAACCCTCCAGCTGACTTAACACTTCTATGACGCCAGAGATAAGAGCCTCGCTCTCCTTGGGGTGCGTAAGCACGGCACTTTGCAGGCGGCTCATATATGAGTCAATTGTCTCCAAGGTTGGTGTCTCAGTGGTACCTGATTGAAGGCAGAGAAGGAGAATTATGGAAGACAGTGACAAGGATGTACAGGAGAATGGCAGGTATCAGTCAAATGTATGCTACTGCTTATTACCATCATGTCTCTCTCCAACTCAAGTTACATTTTGATTTAACCAGAAGCAAGTCAGTGTACAAAATATATCCGCAGCTTATTCTCTCCCATGCTTTCCTCTGTTTACTCTCACATCCACACTCAATCCTGTTACTTTCTTCGATTTATTCACACTATAGTCTAAGTCTGTTTCTTCCTCAATATGTTGACTACAACATCTGCGTAATCATGTGCTAGGGGCTTCATTAAGCTAACACATACGGTACATATAAGTTGTGAAAATAAGTAGTATGGGCAGAATACGGACCTGGGATAGGGATGGCTTGCAGGCAGTGTGCAAGAGTCTGGCGAACATTTTGTAAATGCTGTTGTAGCAGACTGCTCCTCCCCTGTTCTTGCTGCAGCTCAGCCTCCAGTCTCTGCACTGCAGATCGCATGCTTTCCACATGCTTCTGCAGCGCTGCGTTCCGTTCCTCATACTCCATGTTGGATTTCCTGAGCTGTCTTAACTCGGTTTCCCGTGCTGCAGAAAGAATGATGGATAGCAGTGAAATGAGAACAGGTCTAACCAAAGTATCCTGCTGCTACCAAAAGAGAATTACAAACTATTCTGTCAGCACAAAAAAAGGTTCATCAATCAAAAACCTCCCAGCACTTTGACCCGGCACCCTCACCTTTGCTGTGATTCAGAAATTCTTCTGTGAAAATAGGAATTTCAAATACTGATCTCTCCTTCAAAACAGATTCTTTCTAAAATAGAGAAATACAAGATGATGAAGAGTAGAAAGCACATTGAAGGGAATAGGTGAAGCAGGGTGATCTGTACAAAGCACCAGAGAGGGGAAATCTGCTCCAGAAGAGAGGCCAACAGTCACTGACAAGGCAGGGAGGGATGAAATGAGTACATTAGGTTAGCTGGAGAGGGGATCAGTGAGAACATATTGTGGGATGAACTGACCTACAAAGCAAAGAAAAGTAACGAAGATGGAAAGCGTAAATCTGAGAATACATTTGATTAGTTGTGAATTCATATTTTGAGAAAACCTCAGTTTGGTTCTCAGTACACCAAGACAATATCCCTCATCAGAACCACAGGAAGTGTGTCTGCTTTAGGTTGTGTGTATTATGCAGTGAGAACAAAAGGGGGATGGATATTCTATCATTCAGGCAGCTTTAAATATTATTTCAATTCTTGGCTGTGGTGACATTTTTTTTTTAAAAACCCCATACTTTCATTTTTAATTCTTATGTGATACAGGAGTGTGGACATTTTTTCAAAAGCCACTTGTCCAAGGACTAAAGCGGGGGCCCAATCTACTTGTCCTGATACAAAAATAAATTTGAATGAAAAGCGTATTTAACGGTGCTAAAAAGTGCTTCTCATTGCTCGGCGTGGTCAGGTGACCGTGCTGACCAACGAGTGCTCGCAGGATTGCGAGCGCAATTCAAAATCCATGGCGCGGGGCTGCGCTGGATGGCAGCATGGGGAATGGCTAGTACACCCGAACCGGCGGAGCGGAAGGACCGTTCGCCAAAAGGCATGTATAGCAGGAGGGACAGGGGGCCAGACAAGCGGGTAATTCAATTTTTCCAAATTACTTGGGAAAGTGTACTTACCCTTTAATGCACATGCCTCCCAGCTACCACAATATATCACAGTGGAATGAGGGCAGCACTCACAATGCCCTACGCATGTGTTTATTCGCATATGCAGATGGCAGTGGGTGGCGGAGTTGGTTAACTTTTTTTTCCACTTTATCACTATTTATTTTTTACTTTTTAAAATTTGTATTCATCTTATTATCTTTTACTTGTAAACATTTTTGCATCTACTTGTATTGCTATCACACAGGAGCCAACAAGCCCCTGTGTGATAGCATTTGGAGGTGACAGGTTCTCTTTAAGGAACCTGTCACCTCCAAAACAGGAGTTCTGTGCTCGATCTCTTATGACAGCTGAGACAGGAAGGCTGTAAGTACAGCCTTCCTGTCTCACTGTTTACATGGAGCAGACCGGAGAACTGACATTCTCCGCTCTGCGCTTTCCATCCTGATGTAATTTGCCATGGTCCCAGGTCTCCCAAAAGAGTGGGGGATCCAGAAAATCATGGCGGGGAAGGGGACGGACAGACCAGAAGGGTTATTACCAGCGTAGCCGAGATCACCTGTACAAAACAAGTAGCGACTTTCCCTGCTCTACATTTAGCCCTGCTTGCCCAAAGCAGGGCTAAATGTAGATGAAAAAACAACCGCCCGCCGCTTGGAACTGCATGTCCCGGGTGCCGGGCGATAGAAATTCCACACCCCTGGAGGTATATATACAATCAGCAAATATGATTCTGGCTTTAAAAACTGATAAGCCAGCTTGGCCAGAGGGAGTCTTCTAGAACAGCTGGAAAATGTTGTATGCTTGTCCCAAGGCTGCACGCTGTGCAATGGAAGAGACCAGACAGATACAGCACAGTTAATACATAGCAGCGCTGGCAGGAACTGTTAAAGGGATCACATAGATCCTGTTTAGCTATAGCATCACTGCATTTTGGTAAACTGCCTTTATAACTGCCCATCCATCCTTTTTTTCTATCGGTGTATATCTCTATGTCTGTCACTAAACTATTTAAGAGGAGCAACTAGAATTGAGAAATATAAAAGATGGGGTAAAATAGCCGATTCTGTGGGTACTTTTTCCCCTCTCCAACACAAGTCACTTAGTACGCTTATTCAAATTTTTGTTCTCCTGTTTGATATTTACCATTTATGCTTCAAAACTGCAACGCCATTTAGACACTTTAATCTTTCAAGTCTGTGTGCTCATATAATCTATTCAACCACATTACCTTGTCCTCCTTTTTCTGTGGTTATTTAATGCATTTGACACACTGTTTTTCAACCCGTGCCATGTTTCTGCACTCAAGCTGTCACTCCTGTTTATAACTATCCTATAACATTTACAATAAATACCCATTTTCTTGATCTCTGGTGCCCTCATGCTATCACTCAAAGTCAATGGCATACTTAAAACATCAATTACATTGCTTATTTATTTTCATGTTTTTATATCCGTTGACTTTAATAAGTGATCTATCAGCACCTAATAAAGAATCAGGAGACCAATCATAATTATTAATCAGAAGTTAAAAAGAATGTACAGAACAATATTGCAGTGTGTGCGTATGAAACATTCAGATAATGAAAAAGATAACAGTAGTAAAAGTTGGTAAAGACAAGTAACATTGTTGTTTTATATATAGAAATATTTACCTCAGGGTCAGTGGGCATTGTACGGGATCCTTCTGAAAAAAATAAGAGATATGAATTATGAAGGAAAGACTATCTTTTAAACCTCAAAAATATTGAGCTCCATTGTCAACATCCAATAACAAAAACAAGAATTTTGTACTTTCCGAAAAAACTGTTTCTTGAAGTTCAACAAGTGTCACTGTAATAGGTCACACTGCCATCTACAGGAGGATTTGGACACTGGCAAACTAAAAAGCCATTGGCCAGTCAGGTATAACCCCTCCCACTCCAAGAACGGTTCAGGTTTTTTTTTTAAAGAAAAGCATTACATAGGAGTAGACACAATTATGGAGTGATGGGACCTATGTCCCTTAAAGTGTTATTTTTACTTTTGCAGCTACAGCTGCAGGAAAGTTTCTAGAGGTGAAGGTGTAGAACTAGGTTTACAGCCTCCATGTTCACAGTCAACAAAAAAAATGTACAAGTTAGCCCATAAAATCAGCATAGCTGCAGATAACGAAACAGGCAATCTGTGTCAGGTCTCTTAGGAGGGACAATGCATGCTGACCCGGAACGGTTAGGGGATCATGAGCTTAAGAAAAGCCAAAGCTGCAGGGCTGTTCTCCTTGTACGGTTTAACAGGAACAACTTAATAGAACACACCAGGTAAAACTGAGGTTTACACAACCAACTGCTTAAGCAGGAGAGGTTTAATGGCCAGAGGCATGTTACTATAGGCAGTACAGAGGACTAACCAACGTTTGAACCATGTGTCTGTAACAGAAAGGAGCAATGGTGGGAAGAAGCTGCCTCTAGAGCTGCAACAGTTAATCGATTTAGTTGATTAAAAATCGACGATCGAAAACGTTGTCAATGTTTTCGATCGTCGATTCGATTCGGGGGCTCCACACGCGGCCTGAGCCACACCTCACACGCTGCTCCCGATGTGGCCGCCGCACAGGTCGTTTAAGCCGCACCCACCGCACATGCTGCTGAAGCCGCGCATGCTGCTGCTCTCCTCCTCGCTGTGAGCTCCCTCACTCGCCGCTGGCCCGCCGACAATCGAGGGCCCACGCTCTGAAAGTGCGGTAAGTCAGGAGTGGACCCGTTGTAGACTAGAAATGTAGCAATCCCACCATCCTCTCCATCCCTGCACTCAATTCCACCATCATACCCATCCCTGCACTCCATTCCACCATCATCGTTCCAGTCCTCTCCATCCCTGCACTCCATTCCACCATCATCGTTCCCGTCCTCTCCATCCCTGCACTCCATTCCACCATCATACCCGTCCTCTCCATCCCTGCACTCCATTCCACCAACATATCCGTCCTCTCCTTCCCTGCACTCCATTCCATCATCATACCCGTCCTCTGCACCCCATTCCACCATCATACCCGGCCTCTCTATCCCTGCACTCCATTTCACCATCATACCCGTCCTCTCCTTCCCTGCACTCCATTCCACCATCATATACGTCCTCTACTTCCCTGCACCCCATCCCATCATCGTACCAGTCCTCTGCACCCCATTCCACCATCATACCCGTCCTCTCTATTCCTGCATCATACCCGTCCTCTCCAATAACACCAGCTATAGAGGAATACATCAGATCCCAGCAATACATTATACAGCGGCGCAATGGAGAATACCAGCAGCTACAGAGGACTACAAATCCCAGCAATAGTACATTATAGTATAATGTGCTATTCCTGGCATTTGTTGTATTCCTCTGAAGCTGCTGGTATTCTGCATTGCGCCGCTGTATAATGTACTATTGCTGGGATCTGATGTATTCCTCTATAGCAGGTGTTATTGGAGAGGACGGGTATGATGCATATCTATATTACACACCACACTTTTTTTTACTTCCACCGCTCCAAGCTTGCTCCTGTGATGGACTACAATCTCAATACAAACTAGTAGTCCATCACTGGAGACTTTTTTTTTTATCCGATTAATCGAACTTAATAAATCGGCTAACTAATCGATTTTTTAAATAAGTGTTAGCTGCAGCCCTAGCTGCCTCACACTGAAGGAAATAAGGCAGGTACAAAGCAGGGAGTGTGGGCATGCAACACTCAAGCAAATGATGCATTTAAATCCTCAGCAATTGGGGGGGCGTGGCTTGGACATGGCGCCGTGAGCACACGCACTAGGAGAGCTCTGCAGCCACTGAACCGGACAGACGTCTTAACGAACTCTATGCCCTGAATTCCTTCATGCCCAAGGAGCAGAGGACCCACAGCACCCACGGTGACCCCAGATCTGCCTCCCTCTACAACTTTTTTACCCGCCAGCCGCCGATTACCGCGGCCTCGACTGCAGTCAAGATGGCGCTTACCCGCTCCTCGGCGGCCGGGACGAGGCACAACAACCCTGACCCCTGACCAGGATGAGTCCCGAGAACCGGAATGCCCAGGGTTCCCAAGCCAGCCACAGGACACACCGCGCCCGGGCTCCCCGCCCAGCCCCTCTCTGTTCACACACGTGCTGACTCTGGATGCACAGGGGGAGAGCGGTCTGCAGGGCCTGCTGCCGCAGCTGCCCACTAAAAGGGACCTTGACAACATGGCTTCCTGTATCGTTGCGGCCCTGAAAAAAGAGCTCCATGACCTCACCCACCGCATTGAGGCAGTAAGGACATCTTCCCTTTCCCTTCGCCTATGACCCCGCAGATGCCTACCGCCAGGCCATGTCCACGACACCCTCTTAGGTCCGAGCGGGGAATGAAATGGAATGCTACTCTCTAGACCCATAACCGTACTGCTCCTTTCCCCCCCCCAGTTCCCCTCCTTCTGGCTCTCTCCCCCTTATCTCACCCTATATACCCTTCTTCCATACCCTGACCCACACTCCCCGCCTTAGCCTATCCCCGTTAATGTCATACATAAGCAAACCATTGATATATGTGTTTTGGAGTGATAGAAACTGTCAGCCTATCTGAGTTTGCTTACCAAGGGCGACTGCCCCAGTGCCTGTGACCGTGTTAGACCTATACCACACTGATGTTTTATTACCTGATGTCCGATTGTATTGAACATGCGGTCTGTTGTTTTCCACTTATTTTTCAAATGTGATGCGTAAGGTCCTCAAGGCCACACAACGCTTGTTATGTTGGGCTGGCTAGCCCTCTCATGCTCTCAATACATGTAATGAGATGACTGTACTCCCCTACCCCGAATGTGTATCGCGGAAGTTGCTATATTGTTGAGACACTGTCTCCTTATGTCATTGTACCTTTTCTGTGTATAATAAAGCTGATTCTTGATTTAAAAAAAAAAATCCTCAGCAATTAATTGTGGTGTATAATGTCACCAATAGACTAGTAGCTCCCAATGCTCAGCGAATTACATACTTATTAAGAATCTTCAGAAATTGGGTCACCCCAGAGGCTGTACCATGGCTCTGGACCTAGAAAGCACTCTGCACCTAAGGTCACATTTCAGGCCGGCGTTGCAATCTTTGGTCAGGGTAAGACCTTGCTGAGAATTAGCAGATCAAGACAGCTGCATAAAAAAACGCATCTCAGCAGCATGTAGTGGGTGTCTTAATTGAAGACAAAAATAAAAGAAAAATGGATGTCTGACCTCCTAAGATGTTGGCCCAAAAATCAAGCATGCTGACAGTGGGGTTAAACCTGACTGGGCAAGGCTTTTTTGTTTGCCAGTGTCCAAATTCTCCTGTAGGTAGCAGTATTACTCAAAAATTACTGATCCGGTATACCTTCATGAATGTAAAGAAAACACATTTTAGCAGTTGAAAAGATATTTCACGGCCAATCAGGGTTGATTTAAGAAGGAGTAGAGTAAAGGTGCCCATACACTGCACGATTATCGTACGATAATCGTATGCGATCGGTTTTTCGTACGATAATCGAGCAGTGTGAACGGAGACGTGCGACCGTTTCTACTGTACGGTCGCACGTCTTCTGTCGAACCAGCATGTTCGAAAACCAGCTGGGAATCGTACAATTCTCGGCTGGTTAGAACGGTGCTCGGAAGACAAATGCCGAACGGGCCGGTGTGCGCACGCGCACACTGCCCGTTCAGCATTGCGGTCATCGGAAGCCCGCCCCTCGGGGGGGCGGGCTTGCGATGATCGAGAGTGCGATCTGCCTGTCCAAGATAGGCAGATCGTACTTTTTTTAATCCCTGTACAACCATCGCAAGACTAAAGTCTTGCGATGGTTGTAGAGTGTATGGCCACCTTAAGTTTACTTTGCAAAGTAGTGAATGAGGTGAAGCTGTGCTGACTGCAATTATCCAATTCCAATCATGTGCAAGCAAGAAGCCAGTTGTAGTTGTTTTCCATTTCCCCCTGCATGTTATTGGGTAACACAACATGCTCTGCTCCTTTAGTAAACCAACCCCATTATGTCAATACTTCAAATTAATCCAGTTTTGTATTTTATACAGAACTAGCAAAAGTGCCAAAACCTGTCTCTAATATCAGCCTTCTGTAATTCCCTGCACAGAAGCATTCAGGCTGGGAGAGGGAGGGGAAGCAATCAGGGTTGCATTGCCCACTGCTGTCATTCTTCCCTTCTGAAAACACATATTACCTCATCACTTGGCTGTGTTTTGTAATGCACAGTCAGAGGTTGGGGTGCGCCCAGGACCAGGTTATGCTGCCTGCAACACAAGTCTACAGGTGGGCCCAGGACTGTGGCAGGGGATTGCTGGGCAGAATTACAATTTTTCTGGCAAGTAAAGAAGTTCATGCGTTTCAGCTGTTTGTCAAAAGTTCAGGATTAAAGTACCTCAGATAAAACTTACCTGATTACAAGCTACACACAGTTTAACTTGTTAGCTCTTAGCCCCACTGCTTTCTTCCCACAACTTACCCTGCCTCTGTTGCCTCCCTTTTTGACGGTTCTGTGATTTGCGGCTGTATGAACGGAAAGCCTCTGTTTTCTGGTACTGCTGCAGCTCCTTTGTATACCGTTCTTTGTCTCTATCTGCTTCATCCAAGAAACGCTGAAACAATATAAACACAGTGTTGGCGAACAGGTGAAAAAAAAACATGAACAGGACAGAGAATAGGAAAATAGCTGGAATGCTCAAAGACAAAACAGAAATATCAGTGGGCTGAGGAGATGAATAAACACGGGTAGGGATTTATCAAAAGTGGAGCAGACAAAATCTGGAGCAGTTGCCCATGGTAACCAATCAGCTTCTGTTTGTTCAGTTACGATTTGAAAATGAAAGAGAAGCTGATTGGTTGTCATGGGTAACTGCTCTAGCTTTTGATAAATTCCCCTAACTGTGTTTTCATGGGAATGTGGGATAACTTTTAAACACATCTTTAGGTAGTAGTATCTTGTATGTGGTTACCTATAAATAATGCAGAAAGTTTGGAGTGTAAGTGATATCACTTATGGGCTAGTTTTTTAAAGGTGCAAGTTTTGGCGATTTGGGGTCTTTCCTCTGAGAACTGTTTAATGCTTGAGGAAGGGACCTAAAGCCCTGAAACCCAAGGGTAAAGCTGGCCATACACTATCTGACATTATCTGCAGGTTTTCTGGTCAGATGGACAAAGTGCAACAGATTCCTCCATTTATGATACACTGTGCGCATGGAGGAATCTCCCACTGGGCCAAACTTCAGAAACTTGCTAGTCAGCCCCGCTGGCTCTCTAAAAATCTATAAGTGTATGCCAGCTTAAGTTAGCCAATAAAGGGTATTGCTTAAACACCAAACTTTCTGCAACACCTTTTTAACAAATCCTGGTGAACACAGGGAATTCATTTACTTCTCCACTACTAAGAAGCATAAAAGTTTGCATGAGGTTTTTCAGAAAACAAAAGACATACGCGTGTCTGCATAGAGCATCAGGCTCAGCAAACATTTGGAAATTTACAAGCTTCAAAAGGTTAGTTCACCTTTTCAAAACAATGAAAAAGTGAACTAGGTCACAACACTCTCCTCACCCCCCAATCCCTGATTTACTTAGCTGCTTACACGTCGACCTCCTGGGCCCACGCCACCAGTATAACGGGCCACACAAAAAACGGCACTACACAGTCCCAAAGGCGTTGTAGCATCATGATGCTGGCAACAGCTAGCAGTCATTGGTCAGTGAGGCCGTGTGACTGCACTTAACTGGTGTCGAAATCATTGTATTTATTACGTGGTGAAAATATGGCAGAGCAAATATGTAAGTCAAATAAGTCTGAAAGTCAAGTAAAGGCTATTTTTCAGGTCAAATAAATCTAAATATCTCCTCACTAGAAATACACTATATATTCTTTCGAATGGCAGTTCTGATATAGCTTTAACCACTTGCTGGCTGGAGCAATTTCCTATTAGCGCGCACACACACACACACACACACACACACACACACACGATCAAATCTAAATGTTTTTCTAAAAAACAGCTTCAGACCACCAAACAATTATGTATTTTATGAAAGCAGAGGCCCTGTAGAATTAAAAAAAAAAAATTAAGATTTTAAACATGTTTTTTTTTAATGTTGTTACTTTCATTTTTACACAACTTTATTGCGATCACATTGGGGGCTAACAAGCCCCATATGTAATAGCAAATACAATGTGACAAGTCCTCTTTATGGAGACATCAGGTCTTCAAGACCCCTAATGTCACCTAGGGACCACAAAGAAGCTGAGGAAGCAGACATCTGCTTCCTCAGCTTCTTCTTCTGGCTCCAAGAGCCGGAGAATGAACACAGTTACACCGGAAGTGATGTAATGCACATCATTCCGGGTTCAGTGATCGGAGGAGAGATCAGCGGCTGGAAGCCTGCTAATTTCCCTCCGATCATTTAGGGATGACCCGCTGTGCCGGTCCCGGGTCAGTGGAGCCTGGGAAAGCCGGCGGAGGGGGGAGGTTTACACAGTGCCGCACCGAACAAGCGATCGGATGGCTGTACAGCTGTTGGATTGCTTGTATTTAAACAGCAATCGCCTGCTATTTAAAATTATACCAACATGGCTGCAGCAGAAGAGATTCCCTTTAATGCTACCCTCCCTAGTAGCACAAACTTACATTACTTTCACTGCCTTGCAGCACCATTCAGATGGAGCTTCCAAAAACAGGCAACCAAAATGCAAGCACCATCCATACCTCTGCCATACAGACACACAAACACACACCGACCAGCCATAACATTATGACCATTGAGAGGTGAAATGAATAACATTTATTATCTCCTTACAGTGGCACCTGGAAGTGAATGGGATGTATTAGGCAGAAAGTGACATTTTGTCACTGAAGGTAATGTGTTGAAAGCAGAAAAAATTGGCAAGTGTAAGGATCTGAGCGACTTTGACAAGGGCCAAATTGTAATAACTAGACAACAGGGTCAGAGCAACTCCAAAACTGCAGCTCTTGTGGGATGTCAGGATTTACCAAACTAGAGGGAAGGAGGGATAACTGGTGAATAGGCGACAGGGTCATGGGCAGCCAAGGCTCACTGGTGCACATGGGGAGCAAAGGCTGGCCCGTGTAGTCTAATCCAATAGAGGAGCTACTGTAGCTCAAGTTGCTGAAAAAGTTAATGCTGGTTCTGATAGAAAGGTGTCTGAACACACAGTGCATCATAGTTTGTTGTGGGGCTGCAGGCCGGTCAGAGTGCCCACTGCCAAAAGCGCATACAATGGGCACGTAGGCATCAGAACTGGACCACGGAGCAATAGAAGAAGGTGGCCTGGTCTGATTAATCAAGTATTCTATTACATTAATGTGGATAGTCGGGTGTGTGTGTGTCGCTTACCTGGGGAAGAGATGGCACCAGGATGCACCATGGGAAGAAGGGAAGCAGGTGGAGGCAGTGTGATGCTTTGGGCAATGTTCTGCTGGGAAACTTTGGTTCCTGCCATTCATGTGGATGTTACTTTGACATGTACCACCTACCTAAACAGTGTTGCTGAACAAGTACACCCCTTCATGGAAATGGTATTCCCTGATGGCAGTGACCTCTTTCTGCAGGGTAATGCACCCTGCCACACTGCAAAAATGGATCAAAAATGGTTTGGGGAACACATCGAGTTTGAGGTGACTTGGCCTCCAAATTCTCCTGTTCTCAATCCAATCGAGTATCTGTGGGATGTGCTGGGAAAACAAGTCTGATCCCTGGAGCCCCACCCCGCAACTTACAGGACTTAGAAGATCTGCTACTGGCGGCTTGGTGGCAGATACAACATACATTCAGAGGTCCAGTGAAGTCCATGCCTCAATGAGACAGGGCTGTTTTGGCATCAAAAGGGGGACCTACTCAATATTAAGTGGGTGGTCATGTTTTGTCTGATCGGTTTGTGTGCTCATTACATACACAAGGGCCACTTCCTTCTTTGTAGTGCTGCACAACAATTGTGCTTTACTGCTCATTTACACTATGCAAGTCAATGACTCTCCTATGTGGCTGATATAAAAAGTTAACAAAGAGTAACTGCACTGGGCTCCCTCTTGTGGCTAATCTTAAAATGTATATATTTAATGAAGAAATATGAAAATCATGTAAAAACTTACTTTAAAGGGAAAATACTGCAATATTATAATGCTCATAAAATTTTTTTTTAGCCTTCCCTTTAACCCTTTTGCTGCCACCGACATAAGGCTTACAGAAAATATATTGCAAAAATGGTGTGGCCAGCTGAGGTTAAAAACGCTGCGGAGGGCCTGGTAGTGAAAGGGTTGAATGTGCTGGTCTAATACAGACAGGCTTCAGTAAATCGCATAGCTTGATGACACTGGCACTGTTAAAACATGCCAAAATCAACTGTTTGTTGGCACCTATGGCAACTCCTTACCACAAAACATGTCAAACGCGCACTGTATACGCTCATATGACCACACAGACCTTACCAGCTCAATACCAGAACATTTACACACACACAGTACACGGATGCAACACACTCACCTCTGCCTCTATCTAAATGGTGGAGAATAGGAGAATGTTGGAGTCACAGGCAAAACAAATACTTTTGATGACATATGCATGAGGAATGGTACAAACAGTATGCCACGTGTGCTATATAAAACAATATGTTCTGCCTTTATAGAGCTGTCTGCATCAGAGAGGTGGAGGGCCAGATCTGGCCCTTCAGGGTAGCCATGAGGCTGCCAGTTGAATGACACTGCACTAGATTATTGCATCATCTTTAATGTGCATATACTACGTACAATGATAAATCAAAGATCAGGTGTTTTCTTGCACTTATCAAGCAGATATAGCAAAACTCTTTCAAACATATATTTGACAGAATTAAAGGGAGCAAATAAACGAAGTTCACTGTAAAGTTGGCCATACATTGTATGGTTTTCGTTCGGAAATCGTACACGTACGGTCTTTCGAATGAAAATCGAAAAGTTGATGGTACATCACTGATTTTCGATCGGTCAGGTTGGAACATTTTTCTCGGACCGAATGAAAATTGATAAATCAGCGGGGTTTTCATTCATCAAAAAACTCAGCAAGAACACAGCACACGCGCAAAAGGAAAATCCTTTCCGTCGTTCACCAACAATTGGTTGGTTAGTATGGCTAACGATCAATTTCCGAAATCGACATTTGACTTTGCTCGATGGTGAAGTCTAGGTATAAATCGAACGAGGCTTTGTGCCAGAAACGAAAAATTTTGACCGTAAATGGTACAATGTATGGCCACCTTTAGGGTTTACATACTTCTAAACAACGTGTCCATGAGCATAATGCTTTGTGAACATGTCAGTAATCACCTGTTTCTCATGAGCAGGCAACTTGCTCCACTCACTGCCAACAATTCTGGTAATTTCTGGAAATGGAACATCTGGGCGCTCAGCTCTTAACTGCTCCCGCCTTTCATTCATGAAGCGTACATAACCTGTAAGGGGTGCTTTGGGTGCATTGTTATCACGGGGGCTTCTCTTCCGCTTCCGTCCTTTGGTCCATCCTCCCCGCCGAGGTCTAGGTTGCTTTTAGACAGAACGAGTATATTTTAGTTGTCCTCTTTAATGTCTTTTACATATAGTCATCAATCCATTATGCATTAAAAGCAGCAAAAGGATTAGGCACACGTTACAGTCCTGTGTAACATGGTGGTGGCACATTGTCCATATCAGGAACCAGGTTGACAGTGATTTAATGTGATGTTCTTATTATACACTTTACAATAAATTAGAAATGAATAAATCTAAAATACTAGACTAGACTTTAGTCCTTGTTCACCCCAAAGCATTCTGTGAATGTGCACCAAACACATCTTGCAATGTGTCAGGTGTGTACTTTGATGCGCATTCTTGGAACATGTCAAAAACATGCAACGCACTTGCGGTTCCATTACTTGTTAATGACACCCCAAACATGTTCATGCGCAGGGAAAAATTAAACGTGGGTCACATGTAGCAGAATCTGCAACATGAGCTACTTTCCCCAATTTGTCAACCATGCAGCACCGATTGAAATCAATGGGCGGCATACGGCAACAAGCACACGCAAACGAATCACGTGTTCCTTCTATGCTTAGCTGTGAACGGGGACTCATGCTTCATAGGTAAAGCCAAAACGATCTTTTTAGTAGAGAATGGTTAAAACTAGGAATGCACCGATAACTATGCCGGTACTGGGCATTTTCACGAGTACTCATGAAAATGCCCCGATACTAAACATGGATACCGGCGCTTAAAATTTTTTAAACTGAAGCGACTGCCTGAGGTCTAGCACTTGCTGGGGACCTCAGCAGCCTTACTGTGAACTGCGTTCCTGTTTACAGCGCCGGCTGCACATCTCCTCCTTACCGGGAAAACCAGCAGTGCTGCTTACAGCACTTCTCCACCCGCACCTGCAGGATCCTACAGAGACCCTGCACATGATTAGGCTGCCACCCCAGAGCAATACAGAGTATGTAGCTTTATTTTATTCTGCATTGCTGTATAATGTATTGCTGGGATTTGTAAACCTCTATAGCTGATGATATTCTGCTTTGCTGGGATTTGTAGTCCTCTATAGCTTATGGAATTATTCTGCATTGCTGTATAATGTATTGCTGGGATTTATAAACCTCTATAGCTGATGGTATTCTGCATTGCTGGGATTTGTAGTCCTCTATAGCTTATGGAATTATTCTGCATTGCTGTATAATGTATTGGCAGGATTTGTAAACCTCTATAGCTGATGGTATTCTGCATTGCTGGGATTTGTAGTCCTATATAGCTTATGGAATTATTCTGCATCGCTGTATAATGTATTTCTAAAATTTGTAGTCCCTCCACAGCTTAGAGTTAGTGGCAGATCTACCAGTGTCGCAGCATTTGCAGCTGCGATTGAGCCCTGGCGCACCACCACTGTCCAAAAATCATTAGTCTGTATTGACAAAGTAAAAAAAAAAAACTTTCACATGACACTAAACAAAGGGTAATTGGTAAAATGAACTGGTAAAAAAATAAATAAAATAATCGGTAATTGGTATCAGTTAGTACTTGAGGAAAAGTATCGGTACTCGTACTTGGCCTTGAAAAAATGGTATCGGTGCATCCCTAGTTAAAACTCTTCTGTGCGTTCTGTGTCCCTTGTTGGGATTTCCATTCACTTCCTACCCCACCGAGAGACAACAGTGGATAAATGGAAATCTCTCTAATGTGAGGGAAAATACAGTTGTCATGGGAGGTGTCCCCACTGGGAGATTCCCTTCACATCCTGTACCAATGCCAACCATAATATTGTGGCTTTATTACTTTTTGACAATTTTCATCAGGACAAAAAGTGGGGACACGTGCAAAAAGAAAAACCCGACAGAGCCATCTACTGAAATTTAATTCATCAGAATAAAGCCACTGAAGTAAAGCCTGAGCTAGAGCTGTAACCAGAGAAAACATAGTTCAGTCCCCTAAAACTGTTTTTTTTCCCCAGCTTTTGGTATTTGCTGTAGAGTTTCTTACAGCTCTCAGGGACTACTGGTGATATCTTTGCACTGAGTGTCTGGATCTGCACACTTGATTTGACCCTTAGGAAGGGGGGGGGGGGGTTACTCTTCCAGTTTGATTTTTTTATTTTATGTTCTAGAGAATGTGACAGGAGATGCCAATGCACGCAAAGATGGAAAAGAAAGTAAACCCACATCAGGAAACTGATTAGGCTATGAAAAATACCAGTCATATTTAGGATAACCAAAGGGGAGTAGAGGTGGTCAAAATAAACGGCCTTTTAAAATATTTCCTTATGTCACCTTTATCTTTTACCCTCCCTTCCAGCTGAACCTCATCATCTCGCTCACCTCTTCCTCTTGTCTCCGCTCTGCCCCTTCTAACAAGTGCTGCTGCTCTACGAGCTGATGCTGCAACTGATGATCATGGCCCTCTTGCTGAGCGATCGGAGCATGGGAAGTTCCATGGGCTTTAGAAGGTTCAGTGACTTGAGTCCTAACAGAAAAAAAGGAAAAAAAAAAAAAAAAGGACGTATAGCATTAGCTTCTAACTTAATTTTATAGCAATGTGTCAAAACTTGGCCACATACTGTAACTGCTGTAAGAGTTTTTTGCCATATGTGCCCAGTTCAGGAGATTCTCATTTATTTCTCGTCACCAAGACACAACAGGAAGTTAGTGGAAAATGTGCTTTGCATTAAATTTTACCACAGTGGGTTAAAAAGTTTTTGTGCTTTTAACAAAACACAATCATTTTCTAACGTGATGGTGTGTAGAGGCCGAAATTGGAGATGGGGAGAAGGAGAAGGAGGATAATTAGGGCTGATTAAGGCTAACTAGGAATCATTTTTATTGAAAAATAAAACTTTTTTTTCTTTAACTTGTTTTAACTGACGGTTTTATTCAGGTGAAAAGAAAGCGCAGAGTGGGAGCTGGCTGTCCAATTGAGTACAGGGGCAGAACACCCACTGAAGGTAAAGAGAACCTGGGCACAACATAGGAAGAAAGCGGACATGTTTGTAGGGCATACCTCATGTGCCTAAGGTCCTTTATTGGTTTGTATTGCACTGGATTAAACAATAATGGATATACAAGCCTTACAATTTTTCACCATTGCCTGCCCTGAAGAAATCCAACAATTAAAAAATAAAAATCAAAAAAACATATAAAACAAAAATTGAGGCAGTCACAGAAGTAAAGGGAGGAGGTGGCCACACACCTTACAACCATCGCACGACTTTCGTTGTGCGATGGTTGTAAGGTGATTAAAAGGTATGTACGACCTGCGATCTTACTTGCGATCATCGCAAGTCCTCCCTGCTGAGGGGAGGGCTCACAGATGATTGCAATGGTGAGCGGGCAGTGTGCGCTTGCGCACCTCGGCCTGTGCGGCTTTCGTCTTGCGATCACGCTACCTTTTCGGCGGATTTTCTAGCGTGCTCATAATACGAAAATCGTGCGACCGTACAGTAAATGCGGTCGCACGCTGCCCATACACCTTACGATTATCGTACGATCGCGGGATCACCCGCGATTATCGTACGATAATCGTCAGGTGTATGGGCAGCTTTACACAGCGAAAGCATGACCACAGCTGACGGAGATAATTACCATGATTTAAAGTGATATTAAACCCTCAGATTTTTTTAACATAAAACAATACTGTAATGTGTGCCTTACTGTAATCCATGGTTGTTTCCCTTCTCTTTGCTGCTCTTCCTTTTAAATCTGTATCTGTTCTCATGCTGGGCAGAACTTCTGTTTTGCAGCAGACTGCCTTGTCTCTGAAATGGATACACGGTGTCTGTGTGAAGGTTCACAACCTGAGCCAGCACTACAGAAAGAGGCACTCAGCTGCAAAGGGAAGTTCTCCCCAAGCATGAGAAGAGATAAGGATTTAAAAGGAAGAGCAGCAAAGAGAAGGGAAACTACCATGGATTACAGTAAGGCACACGTTACAGTATTGGTTTATGTTAAAAAATCTGAGGGTTTAATGTCACTTTAAAAAAGGAGGCATTTACTGCCCAGGGTCCCCAAAAATGAAGTCAGCAGCTGGCTTCACACTTAAACTGAAAATGTATATTTTAGATAGATTTCAAAATCACGTGTGGAAAACTCACCCTGGGAATGGTGGATCTATATTCTCCTTGCCATCCTCAATATCACCACAAGGTGGAACAGCAGAAGCAACACTCTCCATCTAGAAAAAATAAAAGAAAACAATGCCATGGTTGAATTTCCACACCATATACTTTATGACAGCCTTTTCAACCTTTTAATCATGAATCAATTTTTAGGCCTCAGGAAAACCTACTAAAACAATTATATGTACAGCTCATGGTACACTTGCTTGATGAGTATATCAATGGTATTACAATAAATGAAGAATAAAGAATGTTATATACCCAACATATTTGACACCCAGAGTAGATCCATTTTAAACAATGGCTAGGAAAGAAATGTAGGCATTGAAAATCACAGTGTCCTTTTACATTGATTGTCAGTGAAAAAGTGGTCTGTTATATTGGTGGTCAGTGAGAAACATGGCTCTTATATTGGTGGCCATTGGTGGTAGGTGAAGTGCTCTTACACTTACATTAGTGTAGTGCACCTTTACACTGGTGGTCAGTAGGAAGCATGACCCCTATATTGGTGGCCATTGGTGGTAGGTGAAGTGCTCTTACACTTACATTAGTGTAGTGCACCTTTACACTGGTGGTCAGTAGGAAGCATGACCCCTATATTGGTGGCCATTGGTGGTAGGTGAAGTGCTCTTACACTTACATTAGTGTAGTGCACCTTTACACTGGTGGTCAGTAGGAAGCATGACCCCTATATTGGTGGCCATTGGTGGTAGGTGAAGTGCTCTTACACTTACATTAGTGTAGTGCACCTTTACACTGGTGGTCAGTAGGAAGCATGACCCCTATATTGGTGGCCATTGGTGGTAGGTGAAGTGCTCTTACACTTACATTAGTGTAGTGCACCTTTACACTGGTGGTCAGTAGGAAGCATGACCCCTATATTGGTGGCCTTTGTACTGATCCCTTATACTGATGGTTAGTGGGCAGAATGCCCCATTACATTGTGGGTCAGGGGGAAGAAATCATTATATTACCCGAGAGACAGGAGGAGAGGCTATAGCTGTCCCACATTGCTGCCTTTGTGAACCTGGGGTCAGAATTATGCAGGCACCGGTCAGGCCGGAGACCAATCTGCCTGTGCTCAAGTAAGCCATACCAAATTTGACCCCGATAAGAAAAGGCTGCTTTTCACTGATCTATACTAGATAAGCATTAGGTATAAAACATCCACTATATAAGAAATCAGGCTATTTTCTCTTCATTTGCTATAGCAGTTAATCATTCCTAACGGTATATGTAAACATGCAGACACAAAGAAATCAGCTATATTTAAACCACACTCTAAAATGACTGCAGAGCAGTATATACCTAATGCAAACGCACCGGTCTATTCCTGCTGGCTTCAATGACTTTTCATCACATGGATTTGCAGACAGATCTCAGGTCTACTTTAAAATTGTTAAAAACATGAAAGGACAGTTTCAGCAGCCAAGCAGGTTGCCCATTATATGCATACTTTTAGAGGCCTCATGCTGATGACCAAAAGGACATTTTTACAACGTGCAGGAAGTCATTTTCGGACCTCTTATTTATAAAAAGCCTGTTATGCATTCAATCAAAAATGACCATAACAGATGTTTAAGAGTGTATTAGCCAAAACAAAACAAAAAAGAAACATTCTACCTATAGACAGTCCCTAGACACTGAACAAATTATCCAATTCAAAGCTTTTTGGGTGCAAAAAACAGAAATCAATTACACCCAATGATGGTAGATCTATCGGCACCATTTGATATTGTCTGGTTGTGCCTTTTCATGGAAAGAACTGAGTGGCTGTGTTGGATTTTCCTATCCGTCTACTACTGGGATGGATGTCTGTGTGGAAGATGTCTGCTGATTGCTCTTGGTCCCTCTTCCAATGGATGTTGTGCTCATTCAAAAGTACAGGTTTGCTAAAAGGTGTTGTATGTGAAAGATATTACAACCGTTGGATCATGGCTTCAAATCCAACTGCTATCTAGTGTCTATAGGTAGCTTTACAGGAAAGAAAGGCAAAAGGTAAGTGACATTGTAAATATAAACGGTATACTAGTTCAGTTCTGTAAATTCCTATGTAGGGACCAGCCAGAGCTGTGGGGGAAAGTAGCCCATTTAGTATTACTAATATCATATGCACCGATACCGTTTTTTTGGTATCGAGTACCGATATTTTTTCTTTTTTGATACTCACCGATACGAATACTGATGCCATGTGTCCCATCGCCCGGCTTCCTGATTGCCCGAGAAGCCAGTGTTCTAGCGAAACAACAATTAGGAAGCAGGGCGGTAAATCATGAGGTGGCGTCCGGCTTCCTGATTGGTCAGGAAGCCAGGCTGCCTAGCAACAAGTGAAGCTGACTTCCTAGCCAATCAAGCCAGCTTCACTTGTTGCTAGGCAGCCTGGCTTCCTAAAAAAATCAGGAAGCTGGGAGGCGGGTCATAACCCACCGCCCGGTTTCCTGATTAGAAAGGAAGCCGGCTCCATGCTCCCTCGGCACTGCCGATCAGAGTGAGATCTCCCTCTGACTGGAAGTTCCGATATCGGAGGTAAGTATCGGAGAATTTGGGCGAGAACTCGACTACTAGGATCGGCCCAACCCTACTAATAATAGTTATTATGTGTGGGACATTTAGGACTTCTTTGGGTAGGTGATAAAACAAATTTCTGAAGGTCAGATATTTCTACCCACTTCATGCACCTACTGCAATCTAACATGTTTGGGGAAAAATACGATACAGTATTTTTTGTCACTTACATTTTTTTGTCATGTACTGTAAATTATCCTTCTGGTGTGCTTTTTTTTTTTTTACTTTTTCCAAGTGTGAATAAGACAACCATATCTTTGGCTGGTATTACAAAACGAGTAAAAAATATAAATAAATTCAGTACAGGAACTGCTACAGGATGATGAAATAACATTTTGACTTCCTTAGAAAAGTGCACGTTTTAAGCCTTCCTGTGGGCTCTGCAGCTGTTTTCGCCACTGATACCAGTAGAATTCCCCTGACTCAGGAAGGCAGTAGACTGGGATGAATAATAAGGGGTGAAAATTCTACAGGCTGCATCCTGACCCCTGATCAGGATCAACCTATAGATAGCATCCTACTGGTGGGTCAGTAGTAAATATTCATGACAGTTTGTCCCTATAATAATGAATATTTTGCAAGACGAATGATTTACTAAAGAAAAAAAAAAAAAAAAGTTTACTTTTCAAGGGAATCTTCACTTAGCTTAGTGAATGAATTGAACCTCTGCTTTAATCATCCAATCATGTGCAAGCAAAAATGTTGTTCTTTCCAATTGTCCTTGTAACTTTAGGTATCCATATATCTATAGATATATAAAAATTATATATACATACACATATATATAAAACTACACATGCACACACAAATATATAATATATCTCAAGAAGTTCATTTTACCTTGTGAAAAGTATTCCAACAAAGTCTAACAGGATGGGGGGGAACGCATCATATAAAATATGGCTGTCAGCCAATCATGACCTTGCCGCAACCACAGGATAAAAGTGATATAAACATCTGCCATCATATCTTTTAAATTGGCATTAGACTGGAGTAGCGCAAAAAAAGGGAACATTAGAAAATGTAAAAAATAAAATATAAGATCATCTAGGATTTAATTGTGTGAGCTAGAAAGCCCGCTGCTGACATTTTCCTATTTAAAGTGAACATATTTCTTGTGCTATAGGAAATGATAAAATATAGCACCATCTACAGGCTGAAGAAAATATCCTCATGAAAACGGACCCTTCAATGAACAAGCACTATAGAAAAGTGATAATAAGCAAACCTAACAGAAAACAGATTCTGCCCATATGCCTAAACAAAATGAATTTAAGCAGTGACTGAATCAATGACACAGCTAAGACGGCACCGCACACCCACTGAAAATACCTGTTAAGAATTAGGCTGAAGCATAGAGATGCCACTGTTTTAGAATGAAACTTCACCAAGGATGTATTTATAGGATGTCCTTAGGACAGGGGTGGACAAATGAATATGGAATTTAGGAGGCAGTTTGTCCAATGCAGGAGCCAGCAAGATTTTTTTTTTTTTTTAGGAGCCAAGTCCAATAACAACTAGAGAAAATCTCAAAACTAAAAAGGTGCCTGCTGTAATTTTTAAAGGTGTAGTGGCTATATGGCCCCTGGGATTTCTCCAGCCCTGCCTTAAAGACAAGGCTGGACAAAACCCAGTAGCCAATGTTCCTTGAAAATTACAGCTGGCGCCTATGCTTTGAGGATCTCCAGTTTTTGTCAATGTAGCTGGCCCCTAAAAAATCCTGGCTCCTGGATTGTGCAGAATGGCTCCTGAATTCCATATTAATTTGTCCACCCCTGCCTTAGGATAGCCATACAGAGTCAAACAGACTCCACGAACAAAGTGTAGGGAGGCATATTGTACATCCCACATTTGTACCTTAAGCCAATGGACTGCATTAAAAACAAAAGAAAAAACCCTTCCTGACCTCTCCCTTACTGAGGGAAAAGCCAGGTCATGTTGAGATTTTCCAAGTCAGAAAACTTACAGAGGAGACGCTTACAAACAGGAACTCTAACAAAAATAAATAAATCAGAAAATGGTTCTAACACTCCCAAATCATATTCAACTTTTATGGGGAAAACATTTCCACTTTTGCAGCTAAATTGGGATAACCCCTATTTTATTTTTGTTACATGTTTCCGTTCACATAGCATAAGCCATACTAAAACAAATTAAAAATGCTTCTTTTAGTTTAAATTGTTTTTATTTGGGTTAGGATTTCTCCATCTTTGTAAGGTTTGGAGGGACTGTGAGGGGTTGTTGAAGGATTACAACTCTGGATTCTAGATTCAAATGTTAAAGTGACAAAGTAATTTTTTCTCTCCCCCCCCCCTCCCCCCCCCATGCTGGTGTAAGGACTTATCTTAAACGATGCCTCTTGATTCGATCACCTTCAGGAGTCCCTCCAGTGCTGGTGCGGCTCTCTGATCTAAATGTGAGTTTGTACTCTATCACTGAAGTGAGCTTGGAGCGGTGACTACTTTACAACACACACAGGGACCATGGGGAA